TCTTATTGGACGGTGATGATCTCGGTTGGTCTATGCTGGTTTGCAAAGACTTTGGACCTAGTATATAATCATCTGTTCAAACACACCCCCCCTTTGTGATGTTTTTTCTTTCTATTTATTGGTTAAATGAAAATCCCTACGATTCTCTCTTCAATCTGGCATTCCGGTTAAATCTCTCTATTTCACCCACTATATTTAATATATATCATCGAAAGTTAGTTTTCTAACTTTCTTTTTATAGGCGATTGTGTCAAGTCACTCAAGTCTGACATGACACTCTCAAGCTTTTTTGTTGAGTTGATAGTTCTTTATTGTTGACATTGGTCTCAGCTTATTACGGTTTCCCTCGAATTCCAATCAAGGCATGGCCCTCTTGTTTTGATCACTGGAGTCGATCATCGATCCCATCTATTTGAGATGAAATTGGAGTTCCCGTTTGAGTAATAACAAGAGCTCCCTGGGCTTCTTCCTATGTTTTTGTAGAGGTCTCCGGGCCAAGATTTCGCCAAGCTTGAGGTTTTAATATGGAGTGTATGATCTAGACTTCAGACTCAGGTGCAAGCTTGTGTGTGTATGCACAAGCCTTCCTCGGGACTACTAGGATGTATTTTAACGAGATTGTACACATTTTATTCACGATTTTGAGGGGTGGTGGTGGTAAGTTCCCGAAGGGTGAAGATGATGATGAAATTTTCCAGCTGCAAGTTGAGGATGAGCATCCCAAGGGAATCTCCCATCGAGCTCCTACATAGCTTAACGATAATATTTAGGCTCCGTTTGGCCGACCAAGATGTTATATGATTGTTATACGCAAATCCCAATAATCGGATTATGTATGCACCAATATTTAAATACCTGAAGAAACGATACACATGAGATGGTCATCATACGATCTCCGAGCCAGGGTCAAACTAATCTCAATCGGGGTGTTCTAGTTGATGGCCGATTATCGAATCATTATTTGAAGCTCCTCTTTGAGCAGCTTGACTTGTTTGTTTGTGTTGCTGATTCCCTTCGCTTAAAATCTTGACCACTCGAACACAAATTCAATCCTCGCTGAGGCACCCCATCATCATCCATTCCCAGAAGATTTTCCTCATCCCTCTGTCCTCATTCGTAGCGTATAACCAATTGAAAAAAAAAAAAAAAAATGGGTCCATCTGCATCCTCCTGCAGTCCGAGCACACTCTTGATGATCATCGCTCTCTTCGCTTCTTTTGTCATCCACCCGTCATCCGCGCTCAACATCCTCCAAGGAAATGACGATGGATGTCAGTCAACGGCTTCTCGTAATGGTGTGTGGATTGCTTAGATCCACTGACCGTTTTTTTCTATTTCAAGGGGCGGAATGTAATATCAGAACGTTGTATAAAGTCTTGAAACAACGAGGACATCAGGTCAACAAGACATTTGTTTTTTTGGTTATGAATCTTTGAGGATCAATGTAGCTAGAGGGGAGCATTTCTCTGACGGTCACCAAAAATTCCGATATAGCATAGACCATCATCTCTGCGCCGGTGCGAAACAAGAGCGGGACGGGCTCTCGGTCGACGGAGTGGACGCCGTTAAGGGAGCCGGGGGAATACGACACCGTGCCCGTTGGCGCGCCGGGCGTAGGACCCGACCCAGCCGATCGTGAGCTTTGATCTTCCATGCCCAGCATCCAGTCATACTCTCCACTCTTGTTCAGAATTCCGGCGATCAACACAAATGTAGCCCGGGTCTGGTATGTCAACGCTTTCCCGCTCGACGGCATTCGCTTCGGACTCGACACCTTGACTCCGCGTTTTTATCACGGAATGCCTGACCTCATCGTCACTGGTCCTAATGTCGGAAGTGCGATTTTTTGTTCTAATGCTCATGAGTCATCATTCTTATGAGGTCCCAAGTGTTTTGCTGTTTGCATTTGCCCTGTCTTGATTTTTTTGTTTGTTTGTTTCTTTCTTTTCGGGGCTTTATAACAAATCGATGGGAATGGATTCGATAGAGAACACGGGACTTCAGGACCGATTCTCGGGCACACTTGGAGCGGCGGCGTTTGGCTCGAGACAGGGTGTGGCGGCGATTGCGATTTCGGCGGATGATGATAACCGGCACAGTTACCAGACGGGGGATTCAGAAGAGAAGAGCAGCGAGATCTATGCGAAAGCGACGATGCGAGTGCTGGACGAATTTATACTCAAGATGGAGAACACCGCGGAAGGCCCGCCGAATGATTTTGTACCCGCCGGATGCGTCCTGAACATCAACCTCCAACGGGCGGGCCCTCAGACGGATTGTCGCAGCGCCCAGGACTACCGCTTCGTCCTCACTACCATCTTCGGGATCAGACATCAGTCCGGAATCGACCATTGCGGCTCCCCCTTCTTGCCCGGCGAACAGGCGGTCCTCGACTCGCAAAACGGCTGTTGGGCGGCCGTTACCCTCATCCAATCTCACTCCTTTCTAGACGGCTCTTCTGAGCAAAAACAGGCCCTTTTAGATCGGGCACCTGAGTTCTTCTCTTGTCCAGGTACATTTTAGCCATTTCTTTTTTTTTCTTTCTGTACGAAATCAAGGATGGGTTGTTGGATTGATGAGTATATTGATTACTTGTTTTCCTCTCGATTCCTTGGATGTTTTATAATTATCCCATTGGATGATAAGCTGAAGAGCTCTTGAAAAAAGAACTCGGGCCAGAGATGGGAGTAGACAGAGGGACAGAGCCGCTTCCCAGTTTTAAGAATCCGTCAAAAGAAGAACAATCTGATGCAGATGATGATGATGACAAGGAGGAGAAAAGGCTCTACTTCCAACCCGGAAATATCTCTGGTTAATATTCACTGATTTCCCCCCAATAAAGAATCTCCAAGGGTTGTATGTTGATCATTGTAAATTTTGGAGCCTGTACTAATTTTGATTGTAGGATGAATATGTAGAATATTTATAGATGTATATCATGCTCTTAAATGTGGAATCAACAATCAGGGCACACCATAATTTCGGCACCTTTATTTTGTGGTGTGTCATACCCTCCCAGAATGCCCATAGACTCCAGAAACAATATGATAAGTATATCAAATGGATGTTTTTAAGACAAGGTTGAAGATTCTTTTTTTTTATTACATAAATACTTTGACCACATATTTATTTCCACTCAGGAATGTGATTGGTTTCATGATTTTGGATGTCTTTGTTGAGAGGGTGTACTTAGATTCCAAGCACAGATACATATGTTTCTTTTTGCATGTGCACATCCCATCGACCCTTTTGCATTCAGCTGAGAGAAGTTGAGAGCCCTATCTAAATTCAAGCACATTGTTATGTAACTCTTCTGGATGTTGCAGTATCTCATCTTATAACTGGATTTGAATGTCATCTTGGGCCCTTGTATTAATTACAGATGATGGGCTATCAGCTTAAAACTCTCAATGCTCTCCCTTACATATAAGATCTATAATGTTATGCAATGGTCTTTTGATTTCACATTTAAGAAACATTTTCTTAATTTTTGTGAATGAACTGCAATCTCAAGGACAGTTCAGTTGTGATGTTTGTTTTTGTTATGTACCCTTATACAGTAGCAAATGTTCTAGTTGTCATCATGAAGTTTTGTTGATACATGTAGAATCCCAAGCACAGTTGGTTCTGAGAATTATGATTGAGGGGTGTTTGAAGCACAAAGCGTGCCGGCCCGCGCCGCGCCCGACGGCCCGACGGCCAAGACAGGCCAGCCAGCCTGCCAGCCTGGTCGATGGTCAACAGCCCATGGGAACCGGAAGAACCGAAGCGAACGAGCAAGAACACAACCCAAGCTTAAAGACTCATCCCGATTCCCGACGAAACAGAGGACCATCAACAAACCTGCAACACATCCTCATCCAACTGGCCGTTGCGCTTGACGATCGATTGGATGGTCTGTCTAGCTAATCACATCTCCGTACTAGTCCTATAAGACACTTTAAGCGTGGGCTTGACTCCACTCCAAAAGCACAACAACGGCAAGACAACCAAGAAACTAAAACCAGTCTCCAAGCCCAGTCGGATCCTACCCTCCTGAAGTCAAACATCCGCAGGAACTCGGTGAGCTTGAGATCAGGCTACATATTTACATAGGAACTGCCTACTACATATATTTAAGAGGACATCTGAGTTGAAAGCTGTAAGCTCCAATCAAACACAATTCAAATACAATACTACATCATTTCAAGAATTCCATACACTCAACACGATCCCCCTTATCTGTCTTGTCACTAGAAACAGCTTTATACCTACTTCTACCAGGCAGAATACCACACATCCGACAGATAGATGAGCCCCTATCCGCAACCTCTGCCTGGGCCTTCAACATCGAACAGGAAGAAAGAAGCCGTCAAGTTCAGCACCCTCGACCATCCGCCTCGGGCAAATCTTCTTCCTCCAGCCGCTCTACTCTCCCTTCTCTGTCTGGCCTTCCTCTGCTTGCTCTTCGTCTGTTTTCGGCATACTGAATGGATCGTGTAAGTCTCTCTCTCTCTCTCGTGATTTATCTAGATAGATCCTGAAAACAAAAAATCATGTAGACAGAGAAATTGACTGGTTCTGTTATCGGTTTGTGGTATGCAGTAAAGCGAGGAAAAAAGTCTGGACGCTGCTCCAAGAACAAGCCAATAAGCTATCAGATCAGTTCGAAGAATTCAAATTCAACCGACAACGAAGGATCAAGCTGCTTGATGATGATGATGATGATGGCCAAGAAGAAGGAGAAGGCAGAGCGCCGACGATGGGTTCAGGCGGTGGATCAAGACTATCCTCGAATCTGCAATCACTTAATCTATCCCATCACCATCGCGAATCGGCAATCGATCCATTGACACTCACTGAGCTAGACGAAGAGGAGGAAGACGAGGATAATGAAGTGTTGCCTCAAGTGCTCTATTCTAAATAATCAAGCGAACCAATCCAATTCAATTCAATCAAATCAAACCGTTCTCTCAAATCAAAATGTACACACCCACACACCCATATCTGGAGCTTCTGTCTGACCGACTCCTTCCAAAATCTCTGCTCCCCCAAGACTCGCCTTTATATTTCTGCATCCCAGAACATCTTTTTTCTTGGCTTGGAAGACAGAGTGGCTGATTCGAATGGCACACATCATCCAAAATTATCTTATCACTTTTATCATCTTCTCTATCTCCATCATTATTATCTAATCGATCTGCAACACTCCGTCACACAATACACACACACATACACACACACACACATATATATATATACATCTTGTCGCTATCAAGGGAGCAGGCGAGAATAGATGTTGATCATTATTAGGCCATACTAAGAACACACATCATCCTAACTGTCCTAAACGTAACATCTGACTCAAAACTCTTCATTTGTAAACTAGCTTCCTAATTTTAATTTCACTTTTTTTTTGACAGAATCTGGCATTTTCTTTTTTCATCTACCTACCAAAAACACACTTTTGTTGTTGTTCTTTTGGTTTTGGTTCTAGACTTTTCTTTAATTTCTTTATTTTTTGATGCATGTACTCTGCTAGTTCTAACATTGTATTTTCAATACACTATGATTCATTCCCTCTTCTTTTTTCTTTCTTTCTCTGTCATTATTAATATCCAAGATTTCAGATTGCTTGTTGTTGTTGTTTTTATTTTTTTATGTTTGATTTTTTGGGGAAGAGAGGGAGGGGGGGGGGGCAGAATTCAAATAATATCTGATTATTCCTGATCCAGTGTTATAGGCTTGACTAGACCATTTGCACAGGAAAAAGCTGGTCACTGTGAGGCTCTTTCCCAGACAAAGCAAGAGTTGGTTTCAAGAGCATGGTGCTGGGATTTGGGGGATACATATAAGCTTGGGAAATCTGGCCTGACAACCCTGAGTCTAAACTACACAAACAGTATCACAATCGGAAGTGTTTTGTGAATTTACATCATTTCCAATTGAAAATGTATAGATCAAAATAGGTAAACAAAGAGTACAGTCGCCTATTTTGTGTTGGCAGTTTTACACCATCAACTTATTAAGGCAGTTCACGTTCCAGCCAAACCTCTTCTGATGCAGCTTAAGGTTTGCTTGCTGATGCACCAACCTGATGAACTTTCAATATGGGATTTTGAATCCAAAGGGGGACCTCCCACTAAACTATTTTGGTTTCCCATAAACCTTAAAACAGCTATTCCAGTAAAGTTTGACTGCTGATTTCGAAATCAGCAGTACGTGGACCCCCTTATTGGCTTATTAAGACTCCTTCTGCTGAACATAGAGTCAGCTGTCATTTCCTGCAACTTACACATAGCAATCAGTAAGTCAGCAGACATCAGCTAAACTTCTCCTGACTTCACATAGACATGTGTCAAACAGAAATGACTTCAACTATGGTCTGTCAAGCCTGTCTGGGCACAGGCCAAAGTTTGGCCAAATTGAGGCCAAGTGCGCTGTTCCAAAGCTTGCATGGCACGTCCTAAACCAAACTTGGCACATACCCAACCCCTGCTTGGCGCTTCCTAAAGTTTGCAGGGGCTGGACCAAGCCCGCCAGGTGGAGCATGAAGCAACTTGAGTCATGGTTTGATTGTTGAAGCGCTTAAACTCAATTACCACATTGACTGTCATCAGCCTGGAGAGGGCTTCCAGATGTTAGTAACCAAAATGTATGAATGTTTGAAGCCAGTTTGGCTCACAACCAGACATGATCTTCCTATGATGAAAACATGGGCACATGTACACTTGCAAGGCAAATAATGTACTGGTTCAGGTTCCAAATGGGCCGGGTTTGGGTCAAAAAATGGTGACAAAACCTGCCCCACCAAATTCTCGGGGCGGGGCGGGTCGGGGCAAAAACGGTAAAATGTTGACCAAACCCGGCCCAAATACACAGTGCCTCGGGTCGGGTCAGGTCGAGTCTTGGGTCGGGTCCGGGTCAACTCAGCAAATACTCAGTTAATTGCTTTCAATCAGGTCAGTTGGTCAATCTCAAGCCAACCCAAATACCATCTGTGCTGATCATACCCGCCCCGCTAACCCGTTGGGTTGAATCCGGGTCGGGTCAACTTCCAACCCTAGCCTGCTCAAACCCGCCCCGTGACCCGCCAGGTCACGGGTACCCGGCGGGTTGACCCAACCCACTTGGATCCTGAGTAGCGCTGGACCCCGCGGGGTACCCGGCATTTTTCATGTTGCCCGGCACCCCGACCTGAGGGTATACCCGACCAGCGGGTACAAAATCAGGCTGCCCGCAACATACCCTAGGGTATCGGGTACGGGCAGCGGGGATTCTGTATGCCCCGCGGGGTGGTTCAGGATGCGGGTATTCCCTGTCAGCCCGGGAATATACCCGAATTTGGTGTGCCCCGAGGCACAGGTATAGGCTATACCTGTACCCGGCAGCTGCCCCGGGCTACTGGAAGGAATCTTCCCAGCAAGCAACCAACCAGCCTCACTCATCATTCACCTCACCTCCGATCAATCACCCCACTTATAATATAATTTCCACCACACATCACCAAGAAGCTGTAACCACCATGGTCAACAAACTTAAGGACGATATGGATATTGAAGTAGTTGATCAGCAAAAACCTAATAGTTCAAACACAACCTCCGCATCTGACGAAGCCGCCACCCAAGGTCAGAAGAGCTGGGTTTGGATGCACTTCAAAGCTCTCAACGCACAGAAGGTTCAGTGCCAAGTAAAAGTCAAGAACCCCGATAAAGAACAGACTACTTGTGACAAAGAGTTAGCACGAGACCGCACAGGAAGTACAAAATCGATGCACGAACACCTCAGAAGAATCCACAAAATAAATCCACCAAGTGAAGAAAAAACCAATCAACTTCTACTCCCTCATTTGATGAAACGACAACGAGTCGAGCAGCGCGTAAGTCATCTTTTCCTTTTACATGGAACATTTCATGCTCATTGACTAGTGAATGCTTTTTAGCCGGTTCTCAATTCCAGCTTACTGAAGCAGGCCCTTACGTACCTAGTTGCTGAGGCTGACTTGCCATACGCAATTGTAGAACGCAAATCATTCAGGTACCTGTTGGAATTGCTCAATCCAGCAACCTTACACATGGACTTTGGTCGGAAGGCCATTGCAGCCGAGGTCGATCTACTGTTCTATGCACACAAGCGTCAGCTTCAGGATATGTTGAGTGGAATGAAGTACTTGTCTTACACCCTTGATGCTTGGACATCCCCAAACTCGAAGGCGTTCATGGCCATCACCGTACACGGGATCACCTCTGAATGGAAAGTTTTGGATTTTATTGTAGCAATGCCACCTGTGCATGGTGAGTAAGATATTTGCTTGACAGTTTTTCTCCAAATTTCTAACTTTTCTTGCTTTCTATGTACAACTCAGGCCGGCACACTGGTGTAAACTTTGGTGACATATTTGTGGATACTCTTGACGAAATGGAGATTTCAAATGAGATATTCTGCATCACGGCTGACAATGCCTCTAACAACTCAACCTTAGCATCAAGAGTCGAACAACGGCTTGGTGGGCAATTCGATGCAGACACTCAATTGTTGGGCTGTATGGCCCATGTCATCAACCTTGCTGCCCATGATGGCCTCAAGGTACTTGGAAACTCGCTCGAAGGACATGGTACGGAAGTGGAGCTTACCCTTGGGAAGATGGATCTCAACTCAATAGTTGATCGACCCGATGGTGCAGAAGTCAACCTTCAAACAGTAATCTCTCGGATTCATGGACTAGCTACACATGCTCGAGGCTCTCCCCAACGTCGTGACGCATTCCAAGCGGCCATCAAATTCGTCAACAGTCGATCTCCCGAAAAAACTCCCATCAACGATATTGTTTTGAAGAGGGACGTTCGCACTCGTTGGAACTCCACGTACATGATGCTTCGACGAGCACTGAAGCTTCGATCTGTGTGCTCGACTTACTGTGGTTCAGATGGCGAAGTCGCTAAGTACGCACTCCTCGAGGCTGAGTGGGAAAAAGTTGCACAGATGACAGCATTCTTGAAACCACTCAATGATGTCACAAAAATTCTTTGTCGCTCCAAGTTTCCAACACTTACTGTTGGTATACCAATCTACATCTCACTGATCAAGAGTATCTACAATGTTCGATCAAAGTACGATTCTGCTCAGCTCATCCCAGCGGCAAACGAAATGATCAAGAAGTTATCCAAGTATCTGTCATTAGCCTTGAAGAAACCGGCACCCATCTGTGCAATGATTCTCGACCCTCGAATCAAGCTAAGCTACTTCAAAAAAAACGAGACCTTCTTTGCTCATCACAAAATCTCGGACGTCACCCCCGAAAGTGCTTTGAAAATGTTCCGAGACGAGGCCATCGATTTTGATCGAAGTCCCAGTAAACTAAACGCGATGACAGCCCCAACTAAATCATTAAAGGAAGCGAAGGCTGGAAAGAGAAAAGTGAAGGCCTTAAAGCTCACATCAATTGAGGCCGATATTTTTGGCCAAGCTGCAGTTGCTAACGACTTGACTGCAGAAATCAACCAATACTTGGCTGAAGTCAACGAGAGGGCCGATTGTGATATAATGTATTACTGGGCCCAGCACAAGAAGATCTACCCCTCGTTGAGCTTGATGTCGACGTGCTTCCTTGGAATCCCGGCAACAAGTGCACCCTCCGAACGTGTCTTCTCTCGATCCAAAACTATAATCGGATCTCAGCGACACAGCCTTAGTAGCCGCTCCATCGAACACCTTCTTTGTGTGAAGGAATGGTACCAAAAGTTCGATGACATGCTCGACACCTCAACAGTTAAAAACCCGGCTTCCGAAATCTTGTACTCCAGTGATGATGAGGAACAAGAATCAAGATGGCGACGACGACGACAGCGATGACAACGACAGCGACAATCAAGACCATTGACCATATGTACATAGTAAGACTTACTATTCTTATCCTGATTTGCAATA